ATCGGTCAAGTATCGGTATCGGTCAAGTATCGGTATCGGTCAAGTATCGGTATCGGTCAAGTATCGGTATCGGTCAAGTATCGGTATCGGTCAAGTATCGGTATCGGTCAAGTATCGGTATCGGTCAAGTATCGGTATCGGTCAAGTATCGGTATCGGTCAAGTATCGGTATCGGTCAAGTATCGGTATCGGTCAAGTATCGGTATCGGTCAAGTATCGGTATCGGTCAAGTATCGGTATCGGTCAAGTATCGGTATCGGTCAAGTATCGGTATCGGTCAAGTATCGGTATCGGTCAAGTATCGGTCAAGTATTGATCAAGTATTGCTCAAGTATCGGTCAAGTATCGCTCAAGTATCGGTGAAGTATCCGTAAGTGTCGGTGAAGTATCGGTGAAGTATCCGTAAGTGTCGGTGAAGTATCGGTGAAGTATCGGAGAAGTATCGGTCACGTATCGATCAAGTATCGGTCAAGTGTCAGTCAAGTATCGGTCATGTATCGGTCGTATATCGGTCAAGTATCGGTGAAGTATCCGTCAAGTGTCGGTGAAGTATCGGTGAAGTATCGGCCCCGGATCGATCAAGTATCGGTCAAGTGTCAGTCAAGTATCGGTCATGCATCGGTCATGTATCGGTCAAGTATCGGTGATGTATCGGTCGAGTATCGATGGTCTGAGACTATATCGGTCGACACATCTATCGGTCGACGGCCGACCGAGTCCACCTATAGTACACATGATCCAAAATATATGGCGACCCCCTCTAGGAAATATGATTTAACCCCCCAGGAAAAATGTAGCAATGACCCCCTCTCCCCCTAAGAAATCTCAGGCCTTCAATAGGGGGGTGTGGATATTAAATGGAATGCCCCAATGGACTCGACTAGGCATTCCAAGATCAAAAGTGAGTTGAACAGCTTTGCAAGTAAAACCTGCATTACTTTTGAGGCACTTTAAGTCCCTATTCACCCTCAGAGGTTTATATATATTTCGATTCTTTGGGTTATCGGGATTAATCTAAAAAAAAATTGCGATTGATTAAATATTTCCCAAGATATGCCGCCTCAAAGTTACTCTTTTGGCCACGCTTAACTTGTCCGGGAGAGAATTACTGGGCCGAGTGACGTCACAGCAAGAACGAATGTTAACTTCTTGAATAAGAACATGTGTCTATTGCTGTAAAATGATATGAAAATGCTGACTCGTTGAGTGGTCGCTGCTTGCTCAAATAGACCAGATTCGTCTAAAGGCATATTCAAGTGAATGTGGGCACATCGATCGAAAGACATTCTTGCTGTGACGTCATAACGGACTTTTAGTTACCAGTATTAACTTAGCCCGGCCAAATCAAAAGGGCGTGGCCAAAGGACGAACTTTGAGGCGGCATATCTCGGGAAATATTTAATTAATCAAAAAAGTTTTTTTTGGAGATTAATCCTGATAATGCAAAGAATCGAAATATATATAAACCTGTGAGGGTGAATAGGGACTTAAAAAAAATAAAGATAAAAAGTAAAGGTAAGGCTATTATTATAATATCTTAACCCTTTTCCCTTACAATATCAATATGATACTAAGCAAACAAGTGAGGAGAATAACGAATATAGATTATTAATTACTGCAATATCAAATTCTCTGAACCAACATCAAAATATTTGAATGGCAGACAGTAAGAAGAATTGCTAATGAGATCTGGGAATCAAAGGGTTAAGTAAGATTTTTTAATAAAACGATTGCTTACCATTCATAATAACATCCTTTGTTAACAAGCCATAAAGAAAGGCAGCTGCACTTTGTACACATCTTGCTACCTGGGTGGATCGTACATGGAGATTGCTAGTCTTAATATCTGTATCTATCAAGGTTTTGTAAGCTGTTCTCATGTGTTTTCCAAGAACAAAATGCTGAAGAAAACCTCTCTGTGTTAGCTGACCAATTTGACAGTGGTTTCCTGGTGTTGGGACCAGGTGAAAGTTTCTCCTCGCATTTCTCACAAATTCACGTGGGCTAATATGTCTTGTTGATTGTGAATATTCTTCAAACATTTTCTTGTTGTTATAATCAGAACTGTTGAATGTACAATCAAAATCATAGTTCCCATTGTCCATGTGTGGGATATATACAGAAGGGGATCTGTCTCCATGCCGAATAAGTACCTGCGTCATTTCTAGTTGAAAGCGTTGCTTGTCAAGATGGCTCTCCAGGTTTAACAATCCCTCTGCACCAGCAGTATGCATTGGAAAGTTACAATAGTGTGAAATTAACTGTCGTAATTTGCTTGAAAATTTCATCCCAGATAATGTTGGTTGATCAAAAGAGGATGGTGATTTGGATGAATTCCACACTGTTCATACAAGTAACAGCAAGTATTGAAATGAGTATATCAAGAGCAATAAATGCATTTCTCAACCAAATGCCACTACTTGATTTAATGTCAGCCTGATGCCAGGAACACTTTAACAAATGGATTCCATGTTGCCTTGCTTTTGTTCATTTTGAAATCATCTGTGAACTTGAACTGAACAGATGCATGGCAACGTGGAATTCATTTGTAATAGATCAAAGGTGACGTCAAATGTGGTATGAAGAAAAAAAGAAGCACACTGGTAAACCAGAATAAAAAAAAAAGTCTGTTTATGAGCCAGCGGCCCATCCTCCCGGCACTTAACTCTGGTTTCCGTAGCATGAAGTGACTAGGAGTATTTCTACTTCCCCCTGGATGGGATGCTACTCCATCGCAGGGTTACTCCCCCCCAGCATTAAATATGCCGGTACCCATTCAAACACCTAGGTGAAGAGAGACATTTTGAGAGAAAAGTGTCTTGCCTAGGAACACAACACGATGTCCCTGGCTAGGGCTTGAACCCAGACCCCTCGATCTGTAGTTGAGTGCATTAACCATGGGGCCAGTGCACCTCTACAGGTGAACCAGAGTGTGTAACTTTTATTCTCACCACATTCTGAGGTCTTCTGCAATCTATTTCTGTACAGATACACAGCAAAATGGAATCCATTTGTTTTAAATGATAAGAAAGCAAAATGTTGTTGATGGTGATGTCATCCATGCATCAGTCTCCTCCAATAGATCATAGGTAAAAACAGATCAAAATGCAGGTATCATTTATCTTATCATTTAAAAGTTGATACTTTTTTCACTTCTTATTCTTTTTACAGGACATTTCATGGCCATGAAGCGTTTGATTTCATATCAACTATCCAGTCTACCTTTCTTTTGGGGAGTGGGGTTATAAAAATCTTTAAAAAATATAAACTACAGAATTTCCTTCCCTAATGGAAAGCGATAACATTATTTCGAAACAAACTTTTAGTCTTAATGAACAATTAACCCTACCACATTAATTAAATTTAAATTTACTGACAAAAGAGTTAACAAAACTCCATATCGCTTACGTATCAGCTGTTACAGCTAATGAAGTAACCGTGGAAGAGCTTTTCTTTTCCCTTTCAACAACCCCTAAATAACGATGATTTCCTCTCCTCAGTCTGTCATAAAGAGGCGGAAGTTAACATCGATATCAGCCCACATGCCTAACGCTGTCAAGTCACGAAAGCCAGAGATTCTTTCTTTCATAATCATATCCATCGAGTATAAGATGCTCCAAACAAAATCCTGTGGACTACTCTTAACCTTAGTGTGTAGTCATAAATTAAAACAGTTTTTCCGAACTCAGTTTTTGATCAATTTTCTTAATAATCCCTGGGTGTAATTTATTCAGTACTCACCCCAAATCCACATCAACACTCCAAGGGATGCCAAAACAATCCCTTCCCGGAGGCGGCCTGCTCTCTGAAATTTGTTCTTCGTATCGTAGAATCTTCTCCTCATCGAAACTATGGCAACAGGAATCATTATTTCCAAGTACCTTCGAGGAAAACTGTAACGAGATTCCCCTTAATTAACACGTGATTATGTATGATTTCACACAAGGGACTCGCAGGTCGACACCTGAAATCTTGGCGAGCATTGAACAAAACTCAATGACCAAATCAGCAGTGATTGTCTGTTCATGATATCGTTACAAAAACCGGCATTTAACCGCATTGAAAGGCAACCATATTGGAATGGAACCCAGTACCTCGCTCTTTCCTAAGAACGTGTGACCAACACGAGTATGGCCAACACGAATAACGCGTGTTTACCACGCGCACAAAACTCGCTATCCATCTTTGGCAGTCCGATATCCGAACACGGGCGGATGCATCCGAAATCGAACGACAGTATCCGAAAACAGACGGCACAGTCCGAAATCGGACGTCAGTGTCCGAACTGGTCGACATTGTCCAAAATTGATCGATAAGGATTTAGATAGGAATGAGTGTAGACTACTGGTAGACGAGAAGTACGGCGCTGAAAACGAGGTCTCAGATCAACGGCAGCCTCTCCCTGCTTCCCAGCAGTGGAGAAACGCGCCTCTTACAGCATACGGTGTTAACGTTTAGTTCAAGGTGGAATGCTAACATATCATTTATGGAGAAGAATATCAATGAAGATTTGGATCAGGTTATAAAATGGTCTAAATTAAATAAAATGGTCATTGGCCAAACCAAGTCAAAATGTATGTTCGTCGTGGGAAAGCGGTTACGAAAGCGCCTGGACAATTTAAATTCGAATCTATGAAATATCTCCTTAAAAGCTATAAGCATCTCGGTATTCATTCGGACCAAAATCTTGACTTTGACACTCAAACGGAGGTTTTATGTAAATCATTATCAAAGAAAATTGGTTTTCTCAAGTAAATGAGTCCATTTTTAAAAAGATCACACTAAATGCTCTACTATGATGCTGTCCTTAAACTTTCTTTCCTCTACGGTTCGAGTGTGTGATCATCCACACAAGCAAGGCAAATTTGGACAGCATTCTCAAACTTCAAAGGAGGGCAGCAAGAGTGATCCTAAATGCACCTGTAAATTCAAGATTCGTGGACCTATTTAATACTCTCAATTGGATTCCTTTTTATAGGGAGTCGCATATAAATCGACGTGCAGTCATTTACAGTAGACTTGAAGGAAACTCCCCTAATTACTTTAACGATCTTTTGGTTATTAATTCTAGCGTGCATACGAGGAACACAAGATATTGTAACTTAAATTTGTTTTGTTCTAGATATAACTTTGCTACGGAGGGTGCTCGCTCTTTTACAGTTCGTTCTATTAGGGATTGGAACTCTTTACCAAGATCTTTGAGAGTTTTGGACAGTTACTCACGTTTTAAGACAACGCTTTTTAAACAATTTTTAGACACTCAGAAAAAGGAATTGAGTTTTTAAATTTAGACGATATTATACATATTTTTAATTTTTTAAGGTCTTTTTGCTTAACTTAGGTAGCTCTAGCATGATATTTTTTAGTGTTTTCGAGGGCCACTGGGTTATCAGTTGTTCATACTGTCATGTGCGACCCTGGAGAAATAAAGTCACTACTGCTACTAATTTTGTTAACATACTGGGGGATTGCTCGAAGGCTCTAACGAATCTGATTAGTGGGAGCGATATACTTTGACGAATCTGATCGGTACGGGAAACTTAACTTGTGCAATCTGACTAGGGTAAGCAACGCTGCTTTTGACGAGTAAGACGTCTTTTTAATTTCTTTCACCTAGGATATACCTTACATCAAAATAGGCCTATGCTATAGTATCGGGCAATCTTCAAACCCAGTCATTGAAATAAACAGCAGGGACGGCCACAAAAATTCAGTTTTCTGTATAGTCGTATAAATTATAGGTGCGACAGAAATCGGGTCTTCGGGACGCCGAGTGTTTGAGAATTAAAGTCTTCGTGACGTTTAACAGGAGAATGCTCCCGACTCGTGCATGCGCATTACGGCTCGAGCAATTCCGAAGTAAGACGTTGCCACTTCTACATACGAGACAAGAGTCAGCACCAAATTTGACGTTGTATATAGCAGCAGTTTAATGATTATGTTTCCTTACAACGACGGTTGAAGCCTCAATTATATTTGTATTATTAAACCAAACATTGCTTTGAGATCTTACCAAAATCTACTACCTTTCACTATTCATTAGCCTCTTAATATATATTTTACAATTTTGATCCATCTGACAAAAGAAATCAATCCTCACTTCCTACAAAAGTCATTACTTAATCTTTAACTAAGTCCTTACTTCTTTCACTCCCAGGATCCAATCAGTAATTCTCCCTACCCACTGCCATACTTTCGCTTTTAAATGAGCCTTGAGATGTCTTATTCCCAAAAAATGACCCTCAAGCTGTTAAAACTTGTCCGTACTCTTTCCAAGATAACTTGTTAGAATTACAAGATGTCACATGTTAATCACTTCTGGGAGTTAAAAAGTTCAAAGATATCAAGTTATTAAAACAGTTACATAACCAGCGTGATCACAACCTCTACTCAACCTCGCATAATTTTTTTCTTGATCTTTTTTAAATTTTTCCCGATACTGCATTTTCTACCAACAATTCACTCTGACATATTCCCAAAGTATGATGAATAGCTGACAAAGCACACCTAGCATAATATTGTTTCTATATACACTCAATGCATTACTGGTACATTTTAAAGTCTCATTATCAAATTCATACAAAAAAAAAAAGAAAAAAAAAGCAGTTGAACTTTATATTTAGTGGTAGTTTAGGCTCCCCCTAAGCTATCCACAAGACAACATGCCTTCATTTCTCACTCAATTCATTACCAATAATAACTAGTACAATATGAAAATCACAAAAATAATTCAAGAAATTGATTATAAGCAGGCATGGAAATCTCAATTCATTCCACCCCTAACCATTATTTTTCTCAAAACTTTTCTGAAAACCCTTTTTCTCTGACAAAATCAAATTCATAATACAAAACAAAATTGTGTTGAATAACTTGACATGATAATAAAGGAGTTTAAAAGGAGTATTAAATGAGCTTTCAGTCAACAAACTTCAACACAGCAGTTCCACAGCTGTGACAAAATTACAGAGTTCCAGGCGGTACACTTTCAAATCATAAAATTCCATGACTTTCCATGACTATTCAAGGACCATTCTGATGTTTACCAAAAGCTATAACACAAAGGTTGCTTCCAAAATAATTTAAAAACAATCATATAAAGAGGTAACTTTAAGTGTCATTTGCAAAAATATCACACTCAATGACTTCCATGACATTCTATGACTCTTACATTCCATGACTTTCTAGTCCTGGAAAATGATGTCGTAAAATTCATGACTTTCCAGGTTTCCATGCCTAATATGAACCCCAAATTATCAAATTATGTCAAACAACACCAGTATGCACTAACAATAAAGTCTAATTGTCTAGTTAATTTTACTTTATATTTTCACTTAACTCTTTGGTTTTTTAGTTACTATAATTAGTTACTACAGTAATCATTAAAAAAAAAGGAAAATTAAAGAAGAAGAAAAAAAAAAACCACAAAGTTCTTTTTTTTTTGGCCACAAGATTACATCTCATTTTTTGTGCTCCTTGGATAAATGTGACGGGTAAACAAAGTTCAAGAAACACTACTAAAAAAAAAGCTTTCTACAAAATACCTCAAAACTAATCCCACATCACTGAAAAGAATGCAAAGGGGAAAAAAAACACAGACAAAAAATGCAAACCCAATGAACTTGGAGCAATCAGTAGAACAGCTTTAAGTTCACAAACAAAAATTTACATTTAAAGTTGTTACTGGCAAATGAATACCAACTAGTAGTCAAAGCAAAATTACCCCAAATTTTTGAAGGAAAATTGATTGAGTTTCGAGTACTAGCCATTTCTACATATCCCTCAAATTACCAAGAAAAAAGGAAGAAGAAAAAGGCAGAAATGTTAAACCAATTACCGACCACAATACTACGCTAGTAAACTTAAACAAAAACTTGGTTTCACAGATACACCACTGGCAATTACATATCAGAGTTGTCCCACTCCAACAGGCCTTTCGTTGCTGTACCTTCCTCGTCTTCAGTGTCAGACTTTTCGGTGTTATTGCCATCTTCATTCAGGTCCAGCTCCTGGAATTTTTGCAAGGGATTCAGTGTAATGCGCACACCACTCAGACCAGTGTCATCCCAATACATCTCCTCTTTGTCGTCACCTGGTGGCACAACTTTTACAGTCTCTGGCCTCCTAATAAAATTTAAAAAATAATTCAGTTAAATCTCTCACAACAATTTTCATTTTTGAAATTTAATGGTAACCTCAACATGTTTTTAATCAAACTTGCTTTGTAGTCCACAACACAATAGCATGACAGTTATGAATGCAGAAAACAATGAGACTGCCTCAACAGAACCCATCTAAGTAATAAATTTCGAACCTCTAATCAGAACTTCAATTAGGAAACGTTCCCATGTTAACAAAGATTTAGTAATACATAGACAGGTAAAAACAAGCAATATGATATCCCGAGGTTTCTGCGACTTCATGACGCCATTATCAAGGGTACTAATGAATGTTAATTTTACTTTCATTTGTACCCTTGATAATGGCGTCATGAAGTCGCTGAAACGTTGGGATATTATATCGCTTGTTTTTACCTGTCTATGTTCCCATGTTATTTGTTTTTTGAGCACATCTATTAGATTCTCAAGAAACTGCAGGGAAAAGGAGGAGGATGACGAGGAGGAAAGGCCAAGTTGGTTATTAGTAGATTCTAAGTTGAAAAGCTGCACAGGAAATTTTGACCCTTAACATGTTACTTAAGAAACTCAGTATGCATTGCATCTCATTCATACTCTTTACATTTCTTATGATAATGACAAAGAGAACATATTGAGCAATTAACCCTTTAAATCCCAGAGATGACTATACAAACAGTTGATGAGGATACTCGAACTTATCAGGGAGAATTAACAGTCAGGTCGTGGTAGTTAAAGGGTTCAGAGCTTCTTTAATTGAAAATCATTTTCACTTTTCTCGTGAACTCAATGTTTGACAAAGTGGCAAAAATTTAAGGAGAAATTAAATGTACACAAGACTGAGACAGCCTTTGGAGCTAAACTGTAAGGGAATAATTAAGGTGAAATCACAGGGTTCGTGACACCTTTAACATTACAACATTAAAATAACTATATCAAGATTAAACTTACTGTCTGTACTTGAAGATACCAAGCACAAGAAGGAAGGCAAAAACAGCCACACTGCAAATGATAATTGCAGCCATGACCCCACTGGACAGACCACTAGATGAGGTTTTGCCCATTGCAGCTTCTACAGAAACAATGCCAGGCATCATCTCTGCCTTTTGGCTGTTTTGAGCGAACTTGATGTCGGATTTCTTGAACCCTCTGTTGGTGTGAATAGTGTTGATGTTGCGTCGCTCTGCATCACTTTTGCATTTGCCTTTTAGGGTGGACAAAGTCACCTATACAGCGAGAGAAGAAAAGAAAAACGGTCATAACACTGTTCGCTAGAGATGAAACACATTTTTAAACTTTTACTATTAATTTGATTGTTCCAGTAACTCCCCTCTCTAGTTGCAA